TGTTAACGGACGAATTTGAGTTTATTTTTTAGAGAAAGAGCAGGATACTCGGACCAAATTATTACGCCTCAGCCTTACAAAACCTAAATAATAGAGAGGACTTTGAGAGACCCTCACATAACTAACCTTACTAATGCATATGCCGATACACTATCTGTTACTACTGCAATAATTTTAATATCATCTTTCTCTGCACGTATGAAGAAACTCTTAATTTTTTTTACCACATCAATTGTGCGAGCACCATCTCCAGAAATATCTTCAGCTCCTTATACAAGTACCTTCCCTTTACTTGTAATAAGAACACTCCTTAAGATTTCTTGATGATTAACATTTTTCCAGCTATCGAATGCCAGAGTATTACCAACTTCTTCTTTTTTGACATCGATGGCTTGTTTACGTTACAACTCCTTATTGTGTGATGAGAGAATATAACCAGCAAGAGCATAACGTCCAGGTAAGGAAATATTTGAATTAAGAAATCTGAAAAGGGCAGAGACCTCAAGATTGTCTATCCAATTAAATGTCCAGCTGTTACTTATTGTAACTTTTAATAAATGATACTCAAATATGCAATATTCCACTGAATTTAGGTTACGAATAAAATAATTCTCAATAGAACTTTTTGATGGCCGACTTCATAAATGATGTATAGGAGAAGTAGGTTTATGTAATGTTATAATTTTTTCCAATGAACTTGAAAGAAAGCTACTTGAAGTAGTAATTGATGATATATTCATTTGCTGGTTTTCTTCATCAGATGCATATAGAATTTTTGCTCTTTCTTCTTCAGTATACAACTTAGCAAACTGTATATACTTTTTTAAATATGCTTTTACACAAATTTTTGTATTAGTAAACACTGATTTATCCAATACCAATTCTCTTCCCAATTTCTTGATACATGCTTTACATACAGCAGCTTTATTAGACTTGTTCACTTGTATTGATAAGATCTCAACATAGGGAGTGAGTCTATGAGGTAGTTTTCCACCTGTATATTGTTTCATAGTAATGTTGTTGTAGTTGTATAAGAAAAAGAAGATTATTATATGAAAAACTAGATTAAATGAAAAACATTTCTTTTATTGACTATTAATGTTGATCATTCTAAAAAAGTCAATACCAATTATAATATGCTGTGTCACAATGGAGCCAATGGAATCAATGGAATACAGATTCTATTGCTCTATTCCATTGAGCACTAAATGAAGCAAATATTTACCAACATTGTCTATCTATATATATTGCAGTTTGGATAAGACTAAATTGTTGGGTTGCAGTTTATTTAATTTAGCTTTGACTTGACTTTTTAATATATGAATTTCTATTGAAATCGAAAATTCTTTGTTTTTCCTATGTTTCATTATTTTGTTCATTTAGCTAAAGGAGAGTAAAAGTTTTTGGCTAATATATTCTTGAATTATTTCAATTTTTATGAATTTGATTATTCTTGGAATTGAGCCTGCACCAGTTTAAAAGTATTTTATATCTGAGTTGTTTATTGATTTTAAGCTTTTATTTCTAAACCAAAGGAGTTTTTGTCTCATCTCTATATTCTAGCTTACTTGTCAATTCTATCTTCTGTGATTTATCTGCCTATTTTATATAAAAAATATTTTGTTTTGTAATATTCAATCAAAACTTCTCCAATTTTGTCTAAAAATACCAAATTTATTTGTCATTAGTTGTTTAATAATCTAATATTAGCTTGATAAAGGTCCTTGTCTATAGTTATTTGAAGATTATATAACTTTTTAGTTTAGGAGTATATTGTATTCTTTGTTTATTAGCTGATCAATAAATATAATATTGTGTTTTTTTAAGAATTTTATGGCTTTAATATAAGTGAAAAGATTGTTTAGTAATGTCTTAATTATTAGGTATTCTTCTTGTCATTGAAAAATATCTGACCATTGAAAGTCTAAAAATGTGATATCTATTCTATTTGCTGATTTGAATATTTGTGCTATTACTGCTATTGACAAATCTGTCACTAATAAAAAATAAAATTCATATAATAATGATAAATGTTTATTAATATAGGTAAGACAAATTTAATTATGGCCAAAAAATTGGTTTTTATTAATTGTTCTCTAAAGATGGGTTCCTAAATTAAAGACATGGACATAATTCAAATGTCCTTTATTATTAAAAAAGTTTTTTTAAAATATAAGATCAAAAAAAAACTATCTACAAAGGTTTTTTGCAATTTAGACCACTTGATTCAAATGTTTTTTGAATTATATCCCTATTAAAATAATTAATAAATAATTATGTTTCTTTAAAAGGGACATAATTGATCTGCGAAATTTTATATACTAAATAATTTAGAGACCCATCTTTATTGTTTTTAATGTTATCTCTTTTTCTTAACAATATGATTCTTTTATACAATAAATTCAGTAATTATATAAGAATTGACAATGAAGAATAAAATAAATAAATAAAATAAAAATAAAAAATAAAAATAAAATATTAAATTGTAGTAAAGCTATTACATAACACATTATTGTTTTTATTGTTATATTATATAATTAGTTAATTTTACCAAGTAGAGATGGATTATATGACTTTGCCTTTTTTCTGCTTATATTATATTTTCTCTATCAAAGTCTCCATTTTTTTTATATGTGCCATTTATTGTTTTAACATGGCTTGTTTTTAATTATAGTGTACAATATGTCTTGATGACTGGTATTAATAACATTTGTATTGCCACTTTCCATATTACAGTACTTAGAGATTTTTTTTATAGTTGTTATAAGATATATCCTTGATGAGAATGTTTGCTGGCTTTCAATATTGTATTTGTGCTTTTTTGAGTCAGATTAGAATAAATATGCCTAAGTGGTTATTGCTTTTACTTGATTTGTAAAATTGATAATTTGATTTTTGAGTTGTATCTTTCAAATACTTTTGATTTTATAAAAAAATTTATAATACTGTATATAGTATAATAGAATTAGATATTGTTTCTGTTATATAAGCTATTCTTTTAATGTTTTCTAGAGTTGTGTTGAGAGACAGTTAACTGTATAGAAGTTAATTGAACTGTATTATAGTTTATATTCTATTTTATAAATAAAAACTTTGTTAATTATATATTTTATATATTTGTTGATAATCAACTTTTTTTCCAAGTTTGGTAAAATTGCTTGAATTTCTTATTGGATTCTATTATATATATCTTTTATTTGATTTTTGTTTCCTAATCAGATACCTAAGAATCTTAAATAACTATTATAATCTATTCTATGACTTCTTTTTGTTTGATACTCAAATGAATTTTATTAGAATTTTGTTTTTGCTATTAATAGTAATTAATATAGATTTATTTTTATTGATCTGTAAGTCATTTGTCATATAGAACTATTTAGCTCTTTTCAAAATATACTTTATATCTTTTTGAGATCTTACTATTTAAGTAGTGTCATCCATATATGTGATTACTGCTTGTCTTATGAATAAGTTTCTTGATATGTTTGAGTTAGTTAATGAATTATTGAAGTTTAGTTGCTATAAACATTTATAGAGTATCGTAACATCTTATTTTTTTGAATTTCATATAATAAAGGATTATAAAAAATTCTTTAGAAAAGTGAAGAAATTGTTTTTTCTTGATCAATACTATCTTCTGTTATTATTTCTTTGGTCAGTCTTACATCTGTAATAATTTTGATTTTTCTTTGCTCAAATAGGTTCAAAATAATTTGAATATATCTTAGTAGTGTTTTGAAGTAAAATTCAAAGTTTCTAGTTTTCTTAATAAGCTTCTTTATAGATAATATTAAACAGGTGAATTAGATTAGAGGTGCTGTTACCAGGGAATATATGTACATATAATGAAAATTATTGAATTGAGTTAGACACAATTAAAAATCAAGAATTTAGTAATTGTGTTAAATGGTTTTTTTTATAGTTGATACAATATCTCAAATTTAACCTATAAAAATTATATTATATTTTTAATTTTTTACAATTAATATTTCTATAACTAGTGATTCAATTTGAACAAAAATTTTATCATTCAAAAGTTCTCAATGAGAAGAATCTAATAATAAAATTTTTGTTCAAATTGGACCACTTGTTATAGAAATATCAATTATAAATGATTAAAATATAAGATATTATATATAATTTTAATAATTTATAATTAATATCTTTATAATTAATGATCCAATTTAAATAAAAATTTTATTATTAAATTTTTCTTGTAAAAAGCTTTTAAATAATATATATTTTATTTAAATTGAATTACTAGTTATTAAAATATTAATAACAAATAATATTTTTTTTTTTATAATGAAGAAGGTAATTAATACCTAATGGTTTTTATTAAACTTAATTTGAACCATATACGTATATAAATGGTTTTATATATATTAATATTACTACTAACTGTAAGTTAAACTGCTATTTAATCCACTTATAATCCAACTATACTAACTTATACCACAAGTGTATTGCCCACATATCAGATAAAATTATACAGAAGGTAGAAATTCTGTCACCAGTTTAAATTACCTAATCTGCTAATCCATTTTTGTCAGAGAGTATATAAGATAACCTTTTTATACAAGCCAATCCAGAAACACTCTGATTATCTCTTTTTGCCAAGGCTAGAATATAGTCTTGTTGTGAAAACACATGTTAGTACTTTGATAAATCATCTTTTCACTTTATATCTTTGACTTATACAATTATAAATAAGGATTTTATATGTGTATATACTTCCTAGTAAATGCTTCAAAACTGTAATCCTTGGTTAATACAAATTATTAAATCTAGATATAAATGCCAAGTAGAACATAATATATTTTTCTTATAGTAAATACTCCAAGGGAATTCAGTTGGCTTAAGCTATTAAATCTAGAGGCATAAATGCCAAGCAAAGTGCAACTCCTATATATAAATAGTATGGACCTATCACTTATATCATATATTAGTATTTATATCAATAATCTCTTCAAGATTCCTTACTTGTACCAACATATTATATTATAAAGTTTGTTATATCAGAAGGGATGTGAGCTTATTACTGAAGTTAGATTAGAAGTTTTCCTTATATAACCTTTCCTGCTTCAACCTGTTTTCAGCCTATGATTATTAGAAAGACTAGAGGTTCCATCTTTATGCAGCCTAATTAAATTTAAATAAGATCCAGATATTTGGATACAATATCTATAGAAAAACCGATAAATCCACAAATAAAGAATAAATTTTTTAATAACAAATAATTTTTATTTATTTATTTTTTTTTTTAACAGATAGCTTACGCCTTGTTTATTGAATATTGTTTTAAGTATGTACAAATTTGTAGATTACAAACTTTAAAACTCTATCTATTCTTTAAACTCACTAAAGATTATCCTTACCATATAGCTTATTGTCAAAAGAAATTTATTGATATATCTTTAACTAATTTGCCAAGACTCTATCAATTCCTATTAAAAAAAACTCTAAAATTATATAGTATATTCAAGTTAATTCAGTATGTGTTGCATGATTTATAATTGAATTGATTCCTGATATGTTTGTTTTTTGTTATGTCACTTTTTTCTTGTTAGTTGTCTATTTCCATTTGTCTTGTTGTGTAATATTGTTTTCTTTTTCCTATTTTATAAATTGTTTGTTTTTCTGAATCCAATTCTTTTCCAAACTTTGAAGAATTTTGTTAAGGATATTTTGTATAGTTTCTTTTTATATCATTGAGGCTATATGTGTTTTGATAATTGCAATAATTCTATTGGTTAATGCTTCTCTCATTATGCAATTTAATATCTCTTCTGTCCAATTTTGTATATGTTTGGTGATTTGTTGATATATTTTCGATCCTGTTTTTTCTGTTGCTCTGCTTGTTATTTCCTCATTGATTATTTGTTTAATAGTGTTAATTATATTTATTTGATTGTTATCGCAAATTATGATATATGTATTGGTTTCTATAACTTTGTTACATCTTGGGTATATGTTGTCTATGTATATTGTAGTAGATTATATATATAAT